AGCATGGCATCCAGCAGGGGAAAAGGGAGAGCGGGTCAGGCAGCTGATCTCTTGGCCAGAAGGAGTAGGCCCTAAGTGCCTGCTTAATGCAGTGTGACACCCAGGCCCCCATGGCAGCATAAGTATTCTACTTCATGATAACTGAATCTGACATTTCCTCCCTGGCACCCGTGGCATGCACTTTCCCCAGCCATCTCTAGCCCCAGAACCAGGAGGTCAGGACCAGGCAAGGAAGGGCCCCCAAGCTCCACTGTTGTCACAGCAGGTTTCCATTGCAGGAACAGGCCTGTCCCTACACCAGCACAAAGCAGGAGGATATGGGGATTCTCCTAAGGCTGTGAGTCAACCATGGCAAAGGGAAGGGCAACAGAGGAGTGGGGAGGAGCTGGGAGAAGACATTCATTAGTACAACTGAAGCAGGTGAAAAAAGACAATTTGGTGTAATAGAAAGAAGGGCCTGGAAGTAAGAAACTCAGACTTCATCCCAACTCTATTTGGGCAAGTCACTTAACCTCCCTAAACCTCAATATCTTCATGTATAAAAGCGGGGAATCACATCCCTACTACATAGGGTTCTTGTGGAAACCAAAGTGGATATAATTGGAGAATTCATTGAAAAGAAAATGCTAAATGAAGATCAGTCAAAGATATGGAGAGATGAGGCTAGAGCCTGTGGCAGTATGAGTGGGGGGTAGTTGGGCTAGGCAGAAAAGCCCAATTCTCCCTCCTGGTGAACAGAGGCAATGGTGAGGCCAGTGCTGAGACTGCTGTGTGGGTCTGGTTCCAACTTCTGCCCTGGAGAATGGTCGCAGAATCAAGTCTGGGGATTCGCCAACCCCAAGCCTTAATAAACTGTTCCTTCCCACAGTCTTTATCAGCCCTCACAACTGAAGGAGCAGGCAGAGATTAGGTAGGGGGTACCCAAAGACCACAGGTACCCCATCACTGAGCCCACTCACCCTGGGTCTTTCTGATAGGCAGCTTTACAATATGCTTTGATCCTCAAGAACAAAACCATCCTTCTTACAGAACCCATCCTATGAGTTAAATTGTATCAAGAGGAACTAAGCAACAAAGCTGAGCACCCATAATACGCCCAGTAATAACAGTAACAACAGTTACTAGCATTTGCACAGCCACTGTAGAATTTACAAAGCACCTCCACCTCTAATTATCTCCTTTAATTCTTACTGCAATCCCAGGAAGTAGGTGTTAAATTGTAATCCCCATGTTCAGGTGTAGAAACTAAGGCTCAGAGGGTTAAACTACTTGCCTAAGCTCACTCTGCTGTGCAGCGACAGAGCCAAGCTCTGAGCTCCCTCTTGTCCAACCAGAGCGCTACCCAGCCAACATTACCTGAGCACCTGCTAGGTGCAGGCATTGTGGAGACTGATAATGACACAAGAATGAGTGCAACATGGACCCTCAAGGACAGAGACAAGAACCATGGAATGCAGAATCACATTATTTCACACCAGGAAAGAACCTTTGTGGTATCTAACTCAGGCTCTGCACTTCATAGATGAGGAGAGCGAGATGCAGACAGGGGCTTCTAGACCAGGGGTCAGCAAACATTTTCTGTAAAACATAAGAGAGTAAAGATTTTAGTCTTTGCAGCCACATGTCTCTACAGCATATTATTCTTGGATTATTATTTTCACAATCCACTCATTTAAAAATGTAGAAACCATTCTTAGCATGAGGACTACACAAAGGCAGCTAGCTGCAGGTAGGGTTGGGTCACAAGCTATAGTTTGCTATCCCTGTTCTAGGGGTCCATGCAGGCAGTTTCTTCCTGAGCTGGGGTTCATTCAACCAACCAACCAATTTTTTGAGCACCTGCTACGTTCTAAGCACTGCGCCAAGAGCTGGAGGCTCCAGAGAATGATGTCACATTGTCCATGCCCTTGGGTTTCCTACAGTAGGTAGGCAAGAGACAGGAAAGGAAATAATGTCACCTCAACATGTGATGGGAGGCTATGCAGGATAGGACACCCGGGACACAGAGAAGCCAGCTCTTCTGGGGGTCTCCTGTGTGCTGCCCCTCCTTGTGACAGACATCACAGCATATTTTAATCACTATTTATTTCTCCATGCCCCCCAAGTCTGTATGTTACATGGGAGCAATGACCTATGTCCACTGTTCACTACGCCATCTGGGCACCTAGGGCAAGGCCTGACAGTAGTAATATCTGCAAGCAATATGTGCAGAATAAATGAATAACAGTAACTATGGAGCTCTGGATGCTGGGGTAGAGTGGCTGATAAGGTCTGCTAGAGGAATTTGGGGGAACTGAAGTATTATTCACCCTGTCCCTCTCAGTTGCTGAATGAAGTGCGCTGATTGAGCCTAGAAATACAGCCCCAGGCATCATGAGCATTATGCCCCTTTCTCTCTATATCCCGCTCCAGTTGTCTCCCAACCTCAGCTGACTCACAGCAGCTGTTAATCACACCGCAGTCAAGCATGCTTAATTAAGCCCCAGTTACCTACAGCTTCCTAACAAGAGGAAGGGATGGGCCTCTGGCCATATCAGGCCCCAAGAGGGGGATGGGCCAGGTGTGGGATCTGGTGGGGAAATGCATACAGGTGACAATAAGGCATTCACTGTGAACCTACAGTAGAAATGGTGATGATGATGATGATGATGATGATGATGATGATGATGATGGTAGTGTAGATTTACAGAGCACCTACTGGATGCCAGGCATGGCTTTAACACTTTCTGTGTATTAACTTAAGCGACCTTGTAACAAACTGATGATGTAGATACTATTATTACATCCATTTACAGGTGAGGAAATTGAGCTTAGAGAGGCTACATGACTAGGCCAAGGTCTCACAGCTAGTAAGTAACAGACTTGAAAGGACTTCGCTTTTCCTGTTGCACAGCCACAGGGTAGGAAGAATTTAGGGAGAAGAAGGGCTGCATGTACAGAGCTCGGGCCACACTGCTCAGTGGCCTGGGCTCCTGCAGATAGTAAGGCCACCTCGACTCACATGCAGGGATCCAATTCCATTTTTAACTCAACCCATATTTATCATATACCTGCTACATGCCAGGCTCTGGAGACACAAGTTAAAGAGATAGAGTCCCTTCCGTAGGGAGCTTGCAGATCAGGATATGTGGGAGCAGCACTATAAATACAGCAATAAATGTACATCCTGGTGCTGGGCTGGGGCAGGAGTAGAAAAGTAGAATTTATTGAATACCTACTAGTACAAGACATCAAGGATAGCAAACTCTTTACCTTTCCTTCATAATCCATAATTAAATATTTATTGATGTGCTCTATTACTATTATGGTTACTGGTGTGGTTGATTCTTTTACACTAGACCACATATTCCATGACACAAACCAAGTATCTCGGGGTCTGGCACAGTGCTGAGCATAAAGTTAGTGCTCAATAAGCATTCTTAAATAAATGTATGAGTGAAACATAGTTCCTGCCCTCAAAAAACTAGTGGTTCGGCGGTGGAGTCGGGGTGGGGGGCGGGGATAAAGACGTGAACAGGTGATTGCAATACAGTGTGATAAGCGCAACAGGAACAAGAAGACAAAGTGTGCATGGAAGCAGGGAGAAGGGACTCACCTGGAGCAAGAGAACTGGGAAAGGTGTTCTACCAGAAGGAGGTGCTGAAACCAGGTCTTGAAGAAAGAGGAAAAATTTTCCCAGGGAGATGGGAGGGTGCTCAGAGCTCACAGCACAGCTTTGGAAAAGGCACAGAGCTATGACCCACCAGCTGTGTTGAAGAAACTCTAAGTGGCTTCATTAGGCTGAATTATTGGTGGTGTGTGAGTATGGAGGAAGACAAGAGATACAGCTGGAAGAGATACTGGACTAGATCTCACAGGGCCTTGACTGCCATGCCAAGGACATTGGACCTCATTCTTTAAGCAATAAGGAGTTATGGCAGGGTTTTAAGCAGAGTGGTATGTGGTTCAACTTATGTTTTAGAAAATGGCCCTGGCAGGGATGTGGAGAATGCATTGGAAGAAGGTGAACTTGGGGGCAGGCAGACCAGTCAGAGACTGGTGAAGGACTGTGAGTGTTTAAAGTGAGCAGAAACAGTGAGGATGGGCAGGTAGGCAAAAAGAGGCATAAAAGTGAGACCATATGCACAGAACTGAGTGACCCTTTGTGAAAGAGCAAAGAGGTCACTTAAGCTCTTAGAGTCTCGGTCTCCTCCTTAAAATGAAGATAGCAGAGTCCTTGTGAGCCTTCACAGAGACAAAGACTAGAAGGGCCACACAGGGTCAGGCAGGCAGTAGATGGCTTTTTCCTCTTTGCACCTTGCTGTTCCTTTGTACTTGTGTTACACTCTCGCTCATGCAGCACAGTCAAGCTCAGAAGGAATAAATAATACTGGGCTAGGGGGAAGATGGTCCCTGGGCTACAGCAGCACCTACATGCCAGAAGCATGGACCTTGGGGGTGAGGTGGGGTGTTCTGCCCAGAACAAGGCTGCCACATCTGTAGGACTCCAGGTCCCAGGCAGATCAAACCTGCTCAGATCTGTGGCTCATACACAGTCTTCTTCCTGAAGAACATAAGCAGAACATTCACTCATTTATCCCACTGAGTCCACTGAGAAAACAAAAACCACTCTATGCCTTTTGAGCAGAAAGATTTAAATCAGCGGTTTGGTTGTACAGGTGACAGAAGAGGTAGGACAACCCAGAGATTAGCAACAGCAGGAAGCCGCCACTTTCCTGGGGCTGCAGGGAGGAGGTAGTGTTCCAGGAGATCAGGAGCTGAGGCTACCAGACTGAAGCTGAAAACATTGCGGATCTGCCAGAGG